AGCCTTTTGCTACTTTTAGCTTTTAACAAGCCTTTTGCTACTTTTAGCTTTTAACCAACCTTTTGCTACTTTTAGCTTTTAACTAACCTTTTGCTGCTTTTAGCTTCTAGCTAGCATTTTTGCTTCACTTCACTAACCTTTAACTGCTGATAGCCAGTGTTTTGCTGTTTTTAGCTGTTATATACCCTTCTAGTACTCGATAGCATTTTGCTACTTTTTATGTGCCTAATCTGAGGGACTTCATGGTAGCAGATATGTTAGCATTGCAACATTACATGTCTTCAGATATCTTATGTCCTAATAATTTCCATCTGGAAAAGACTCTTTGCAGACATTAAAGGAGATTAGGCAGCCTCTTTGTTAATTTATTTGTTCAGACTCGTTGGCGCTGTAGAAAAGCTGACCTTCATGTTTAAGTTCATAACCAGTGTAAATAAAAAACTATTTTTTTAATTGTGTTTGTTCAACAGTTTGATAATGAAGTTACAAAATGCGTTCCCACGCATCATTATTGTGTTGTCTCTAATTCATCAGCTTTCACAATGGCAGATCTCAGTGTTGCCAAATAATAAACAGGAGCTCAAGGGATTTAAGAAAAATAAGTTGTCACTAGGAAACAGCAGTTTCTGTTATTTTAAAGCTTAAGTATATATATGTTTTTGGCTTTAATTACATATATCGGTAGTTAAAAAAATTAAGCTCTACTTAGCCGTGCTTTCAAAATGGTTCTCACTGAGCAGCAGCCTCCGCCTCGCTGAACTTCTACTACTTGTTGTATTTTGATGTAAAACTATTTGATTAACATTTATGCATTTATTAATTCTCATCTCATTAATTCAATGTGTATCTCATCTACGTCCATTCATTTTATGACATTTTAATTAAAAAAAACAGTCTAAAGTACAAAACCTAAAAACGTGACTGTCTGTTCAAATGAACATATACTAAAAACGATGATTGCAGATGGTAAACATAAAAAACTGCAAAATAAATGATCAGATTTGATGCTTAAAGTCAGCACTGACAGAAACATTTGATCGTTTTTTTTTCATTGATTCATGCAAATTATTCAAAATAACAGTGATCAAATAATTGAGCAATAAATTGCTGTGTAATCACGATTCAGTATTTTGATATGACATTAAATGTGGTATGTTTAAATAAATAATGCACATTTTAAAAACCCTTTTCATATGTTTTAAACTCGTCAACACGCAGTCTGTTTTTATCACTTTACACGCAAATCTTTACGGTGAAAAACAGTCAAATGGGACATTCTTAATCTTTTTATATTAAAAGAAAACCTGACATGTTAATCTACGTAAATATGAATAACATCACAACACTTACAGCTGACCTCTGGTGCGTTTTACTGTCATCTGTGATCCCATAATGCTGCTGCATCTGAACTGTTAACCAGACAAATTAGCCCTAGTTTAAAAGGGACTTCGCAGATTTTACAAGATCTCACAACTGATTGAGTTTATCATTAGAATAACTAGAGAGATCACTTTTCCTGTGAAAATGCAGTGTGAATGTTTATTGCTGAAAAACTTGCTGAAAACAGCTGAAATTAGCTAAAAAGAACATGCTGAAACGTAGCTGAAGAACAAGCCTAGCTTAGCAGACGAAAGCAGAAGGAACACATATTTGCTGAATTAGGTTTAAATAAGCAAAAATGAGCACAAAAATTAGGAAGTTCGCTAAAAACTGAAATCAACAACAACAAAAAATAGCTGAAATGGTAGAAGGAAGCTTAAACTACTAGAAGGAAGTGGAAGGAGCTATAATGAGTGCAAAAAATGTGGAATTAGCTGAAAAAGCTAAAATTAGCATAAAAAGCTAAATAGCATCTGAAATAGCAGAAAAAGAAAAAGAAACTAGCAGAAAAAAGTTGAAATGATCAGAAAGAAGTTCATTGCGCGGAAAGTAGCAGAATTTACCACAAGACACTTGATTTTTCTGAAAACAGTTGAAATTTGCTAAAACAAAATTGTAAAAACAAGCTTAGATGAGCAAAAGAAAGCAGAAATAACACGTTTGCCCAATTCTGCTCAAAGAAGCAGAAATTAGCCCAAAAAATGGAAACTATCTGAAACAAGCTGAAATTAGCAACAACAACAAAAAAACAGCTGAATAGTAGCTAAAAAGGCATAAAGAAGCTGAAATTACAAGAACGAAGTGGAGAGAGCAAATTTTTTGCTGAATTAGGCTGAAAAAAGTTGAAATGAGTGCAAAAATTGAGGAATTAGCTTAAAAAGCCAGAATTAGCATAAGCACAGCTAAATAGTAGCTGAAATAGCAGAAAAAGCTGGAACTTGCATAAATAAGCTGAAAGATGCATAACAAGGAAGCAGAAAGAAGTTAGAAGAAGCACACAATTGTTGTAGTTAGCAGAAAGAATCAGACAGGAGCACAAAACAGCTGAAAGCAGCTGAGAAATGTTTGAATTTGCGCAAGGAAGCTGAAAGAAGCTGAACCAGAACAAAATGTGAAAGGAGCAGTAAAAGGTTTTAAACGGATCTAAAGATGTGAAGGATGTAAAATGAGCTCAATTAATTTTCTATGAGGAAAAAATGGCAGAAAAAACAAAATATTTTAAAAAGCTAAAGTTGCACCAATACCAAAAGTCATAACAGGATTGTCCTGAAAGAGCTGAATGTTTTGGTGTATGATTTGCTGAAATAGCTTAAAAACTGCGAGACAGTCGCGCCGAAAAATATACAGAAGAAAAATGGATCACAATAGTGTGAGTGCTTCAAAATCATTCACACAACAAACCAAGCCGTCAGTTTTAGAGCGATAGTTCTGCAAAACAGGACGTAAGAAAATGTCAGCTGCATTAAAAAAAAAATCCCCAAATGTTTTATCACTTTCTTGTGTATAAAGTTTACAGCTCTCATAACGAACTTCCTGGTTTGATTCCTTCGTGAAACCAGAATCAGGGAGTTTATCTTTAAGGCATCACACCAAGTTCATGGCCATGTGAGAATAAAAAAATAAATAAAATGATCTGTTTAATAAAATCTGTACCATGAAAGATGGAGGGCAGCATCATTCATTCTGTGACAGGTGCTGAAGAGATTTATAGTTCCGTATATGAAATAAAAACAATACTATTTTATGACGCTGACAATAAAAATAATAGTCAAATAAGGAAGTGTTGCTCTTTTATATTAACCGTTTATGTAACTGAAATCTTTCCTGTTTTAATTTTTTTTTTTATTATTTTGTCCTTTTTCCAACAGGCTATGGTCACACGGCACCTCTGTCAGATGGCGGGAAGGCCTTTTGCATTATTTACTCTGTGATTGGCATCCCCTTCACCCTCCTCTTCCTCACCGCTGTGGTGCAAAGGATCATGGTGTTCAGCACGCGGAGGCCAATCGTGTACATCCACACACGCTGGGGCCTGTCCAAGCCGATGGTGGCCGTCGTTCACGCCACGGTGCTCGCCATGCTAGCCGTTTCGTGCTTCTTCCTCATCCCTGCCGCCATCTTCTCTGTGCTGGAGACGAACTGGAACTTCCTGGAGTCCTTCTACTTCTGCTTTATTTCTCTCAGCACCATCGGCCTCGGAGACTACGTACCCGGAGAGGCTGCTAATCAGAAGTTCAGGGAGCTCTACAAAGTGGGAATTACTGGTGAGTGTCTTTGTTTTAGGAACTGTTCTCTTTTCTGGTTGATGGTGGCAGCTTTAATAATAATAATAATAATAATATCATCACAATGTCAGCACTGTATGTTTCCATACAATGGCGAAATTAGTCTCTGCATTTAACCCATCCACCACCAGGTGGTGCAGTGGGCAGCTATTGAAAGCGCCCGGGGGGCATTTTGGGGATGAGGCGTGCTGCCCAGAGACGCCACGTGATGTGCAGTGACTGGGGATCGAACCTGGGACTTTTGGGTCCCAAGCCGGCTGCCCTGCCTCTACACCATCTCGGCCCTCATCTTTACGGTCTCAAATGGAAAAATGTACCGTATTTTTTGGTCTATAAGGTGCACCAGATTATAAGGTGCATTAGGCAAAACAAAACAGTTGGATAAGTCAAAACTGATTCAACTCATTCACAGTAACTCTCAACATTGTTCAGGTGGACCACATAAAATTGGTTCTAGGTCAGTAAGCACAACCAGAATTAACACATAAAGTGCATCAGATTATAAAGCTCACTGTCGATTTTTGAGATTATTGAAAGGATTTTAAGTGCAACTTATAGTCCAAAAAATACGGTAGACATCATTAGGCCTGTCACGATAACAAATTTTGCTGGGCAATTAATTGTCTCTGAAATTGCGATAAACGATAATATTGTTTGAAATTTGACAATAATTAGTAATTACTGTCAAATTTAGGAAGAAATGTTGGTTAATTATTGTGTGTAGTACCTTTTTTGACAACTGGATGGCAATACAAGACTGTTTGAACTGAAGGATGGATAGTTAGGGAGCGAGCAGTGTGCCTCTTTAAGAAAAATGGGAGGGAGGTCTCTTGATGTGACATGGGCTGTCTCTCGTTCCCGTTTTTCAGTTCTCAAAATGGCTGCGGCTCGGTGTCTTTGAGCTCTTTAGCATAGCATTTTTCACCCAAAGCTTTTTTAAACAAGTTCTCAGCTTCTTTTTGCAGAGAAAAACAACTTTTTACATGAAGACACGGGTTTCAGTCGTGAATTTTGGAGCTTCGACAAGACGGAGGTTTTTTTTCCGAGGTCGGCCTGTTAGCTTAGCTCGTAGCTTAGCTTCTTAGCTTAGCTGCATTTAACCGTCCAAAAATGCGATTTTGGACGGTTAAAACATATTTTAAATTGAAAAGAGAAAGGGAGGGGGCAGTGAAGAGTTGAGCTTTTTGTCATCCAGTGTCTTCAGTAGAAAAAGAGAGAGACAAGAAGAAATGATAAAGCCGATAAATGAAAATTATCTTCATTTATCATGTGATTAATTGATTTATGGTTTATTGCGACAGGCCTAAACATCATATTGTCCTATTAATAACTATGATGCTATTATTATCACAAGATACAAAGTTTTTATTGCTGATTTGCTTAATGAAAAACGTGAAAAAGCCCCTATTTCTAAGAATTAAGAGTTATAAAAAAATTATTGATAGAAGAATATCCCTGCCGACAGATTTTCTGCTGGTAAACTTTGACCTGATCACATGACTCAATCAGCTGGATTTATTTATTTATTTATTTTTTACTCAATTTGCAAAAACCTTCATGATGTCAGTTGCTAATTCACGTGGTAAAAATATACAAAACCCTAACAAATCATTTACATTTATTGTAGATCATTTGAGTCTATGGTATTTTACTATTACTTTCTTGCCAATCTAGTTTTATTTGTTAAAATATACACTTTTTGGTATTTTAGCTCTACAGCACTTTCTAAAACATGCTAGGAAGAAGTGGATTTTGGGACGGAGTTGTCGTAAAAGAAAAAAAGTCAAGTAATTTGGTATAAAAATGTCAGTGAATGACATTTTGTTGGTGGGGCGGTGGCGCAGTAGAGCTGCCGCCTCTCAGCAAGGAGGTCGCCGGTCCAAATCCCGGCTGGGGGCCGTTCTGGGTGGAGTTTGCATGTTCTCTCCGTGCATGCGTGGGTTTTCTCCAGGTGCTCCGGTTTCCTCCCACAGACCAAAAACATGCACGTTAGACTGATTGGTAACTAGGGCTGAACAATTAATTGCATTTGCGATAATATCGCAGTATGATAAAACGAGATTTTCTAATCGCAAAGGCTGCGATTTGACTGGTCATGTGATCTGGTTACGTGACTTGCGAGTGAGCGGAGCAGAGCAGGGAGCGGGAGAAGTCAACACTGCGCTTTAACCAGTTGCACAATGGCGTCAGGCTCGACAGAAGCTGACACATCTGAAAGTTTGGTACAAAGAGCGGCAGCACGTCCGTTGTTTGGAATTATTTTGGCTATAAAAAAGACGACGCTGCACAACGACATATATTGTGCAGAACCTGCCTCGCTGCTGTTGCTACCGCTCGAGGTAACACCACAAATCTTTATCAACACTTAAAAAACACCACAAAGCCATTTACGATGGTTGCATGGCTAGAATGCCAACGTCCAGTGCTTCAACTCAAAATAAGCAAAGTAGCAGCTGACGGGGATCACTGACCGAACTGTTCGAACGTATTACTCCGTACAAACATAATTTGAAATGGCACGTGGAAATAACTCGATAAATAATGAAGTTCATAGCGAAACACATGATGCCCATTAATATAGTGACCAGGTCTGGGTTTATGGCTTTGGTAAACACAATAAATAAGTGGTACAGAATGCCCTCGCACACATGCTTTAGCCAAGTTGCTATCCCGGAGATGCACAAAAAATGTGGAAACAAAGTTGCAGCAAGAAAGAATGAAAGAATGAGATCGCGGATGCAGACGGTTGAAATGAGTTTTCTCCGCAAGGTAGCTGGACTCTCCTTTAGAGACAGGGTGAGAAGTTCAGTTATCAGGAGAGACTCGGAGTAGAGCCGCTGCTCCTCCACGTTGAGAGGAGCCAGTTGAGGTGGTTCGGGCATCTGGTAAGAATGCCCCTGGGCCCCTCCCTAGAGAGGTGCTATGGGCATGTCCAACTGGGAGGAGACCCCGGAAGACCCAGGACACGCTGGAGAGACGATGTCTCTCGGTTGACCTGGGAACGCCTTGGAATCCTCCCAGAAGAGCTGGAGGCGGTGGCTGTGGAAAGAGATGTCTGGGCCTCCCTGCTCAAGCTGCCGCCCCCGCAACCCAACTTCAGAACAAGCGGAAGATGATGGATGGATGGGGTTGCAGCAGTGGAGTTTTTTTTTTTTTAACAACTGAAACAGATTGATTCATTGTTTGTGTTCATTGAAATATACATGAGGACATAAAAATAATAATAATTTCATATTAAATCATAATATTGAGGTAAAAAAAAAATCACAATTAGAATTCAAAAAGCGTTCAATACAAAAACAACTGGACTTTATTTGTAACAGAAGACGTTTCGCTCCTCATCCGAGGAGCTTTCTCAATTCAAATGAGGAGCGAAACGTCTTCTGTTACAAATAAAGTCCAGTTGTTTTTGTATTGAACGCTTTTTGAATTCATCATGTCCTGGATGACTGAGAATCTTCACCAGCACAATTAGAATATTTTCCAAAATCGTTCAACCCTATTGGTAACTCTAAATAGGCGTGAGTGAGAAAGTGAACGTCGTTTGTCTCGTTTGTCCCTGTGTCCCTGTGATGGACTGGAGACCCGTCCAGGGTGTCCCCCACCTCTCGCACAGTGACTGCTGGATATGGACACCAGTGACCCTCGTGACGGGAAAAGGAAGAATCGGGTGAAGATAATGGATGGATGACATGTTGATCTCAAGTTCAAGGAATCGACATGAATATAAAAAACGTAGTGTAAGCCCAGCTTGGACTTTCACAGAATCAATATTCAATCAATGATGAAACCGCTTGAAGAAGGGATTATTTTGGGCCAACTTGGTCACATAAAATCAAATTCATAACGTCAGTATATCAGTATTTCACATTTATTCTGAGATGCATCAGTGCCTTCAACAAAGATCCTTTACGTTGTTGTTGTTATTTGTTCCTGTGTTGAATGTCGAGACTGAGATTTTAGATCAGCTTTGTCTTCAGTTATGACGTTTGTGTCTTTTTGAAGACGCCGTTAGGATGACGTGATAATAATGCGTTGAACATTTTAAAAAGATGAGCGATGACTGTGTGCTGTTGCACATTTTAATGCGCGTCTTGTTGAAGACTAGGATCAATTATCACCTGAAACGCTTTGTTGTCTTTTTATCTGTGGTGTTACAACTTTATACAACCTGAGATTGTAAGGTAAAAAAGGTTACCAAAAAAAAAAACCCTGTTATTCTCATTTACTGATAACAAACAGTTGCAGTCCCTGCAAACATGAGGTGTCAGGAAAATTGTTGCTACTCGGGGCGACATTACAGCACATTTCTACACAAGGTGAAGCCCATTAAAAAGATCGAGTGCTGCAGAGAAAGCTGCATCTGACATTTTCCTTTGTGTCTAAAGCCATAACAAGACGCAGGCGTGCCCAAGCAGCGAGGTGTTGACTTCATCTTCTCGCTCAGCGCGCTGTCAGCAGAGCTGTTAGGGCTAGTGGTGAATAAAAGTCAGTTTGGAAGCTCGGGATCTGGACGAGTGTGTCAAAGTCGGACGCTGCTCTCGTGAAGCGTCTCCAGATTGTGTGACGTGGGCGTGCGTGGTACGCAGCAGCCAGAGGGGTGACGTTAGCCAGGATGAACAATGTGGCAGTCTGTGGGTGGCGGAAAGAGGCTCTGAGGAAAACGTGTTTCTTTGCACAAGTACCACCACTCACACTTGTACAACTTCCTTTGTAAAGAATTACGCGCCTGCGTAGGATGTGACATCACTACTATCTGCAGAAACAAACAAAAAATTGAAGAATGTAACAAATGTGGCACAATTTGTCTCATTTACTGAGTCTGTTTGACCTTTTTGTGACTTCAGTACTAAGTACTTACTGCTTGTGTTTTTTTATACACATAACATTTTGTGCTTTTTGTACATCTGCAGTACCTTGATTGTAGTTTAACAAGAACATCATTCAACACTCGTGAATTATTTATGTATTTATTAGATTGAATGTTTCTTGTAAAGCATTGATGGTTCTGCTTCAGACAGACCAGACACTTTATTTATGAGCATAGTCTGAAAATGTCCTCCTTTGTTCTTGGTTGCATTGACAGCTGACTACTGCCCCCTGCTGTCCAAACTGAAAACAACAGATTCTTCAATAGCATGGGATCAATGGCTTCAGTCTCCCCCCCCCACCCCCCCAATCAAGAATCTTACATAAATGTTTTTTTTTTCTTGGTTATTACAACGTGAATATTTTTAGTAGCAATTAAATAGTTTTTTTATAATTTTATGTTATGTGATACAACTAGTTTTGAAAAGGCTGGGATGTTGTGGAAAATTAAAATCAAAACAGAATGCAACAATTTGCAAAATGTCATAAATAAAATAAAATAATAATTGAATTATAATATAAAATAAAATTAAAAAAGTAAGATTTTTTTAAGTTAAGTAATTTTTGTTTTAATGACAGCAACAAAGTAAAAAAAATAAATAAATAAAATGGATCAGGGGCAAGAAAAGACCCTAAAGACAGCGGTTTGAATACAAAGCAGCTGGAGGAGCATTTTGCTACTTATGCAGTTTAAATGACAACAGGTCAGTAAAAGGACTGGGTATAAAAACATCTTTTAAAGAGGCTGAATCTGAAAGAAGTAAAGATGGGCAGGGGTTCACCAGCGTGCAGAAAACCTTTGGTACAGTTTCTTAATTTATACATTTGATATGTTTACTGTGTTTTTAGAATACTGTTCCTCAGCTGTAATTTAAGAACAATATTCTATTGTCTACAGTTCATAAGACTAAAAGACTAAGAAATCTCAAGGTGCAAAGGAAATGGACAAAAGTCAACCATAGATGCTCATGATGCATTAAAAGTAGGTCTGTCGTGATAACAAATTTTGCTGAGCGATTAATTTTTTCAGAAATTATTGCGATAAATGATAATATTGTTTGAAATTTGACAATAATTAGTAATTATCAAATTTAAGAAGTAATGTTGGTAAATTTTGTGTTTAGTACCTTTTTTGACCACCAGATGGCAGTATAAGACTGTTTAAACCAAAGGATGAATAGTGAGGGAGCGAGCAGCGTGTCTTCAGAAAAATAGGAGGGAGGTCTCTTGACATCACATGGGCTGTCTCTCTCTCCTTTTTTTCGGTTCTCAAAATGGCGGATGCTCCGTGTGGTCTGAGCTCTTTAGCATAACATTTTTCACACAAAGTTTTTAATAAAAAAATCAGTAAACAAGTTCTCAGCTTCTTTTTGCAGAGAAAAACAACTTTTTACGTGAAGGCACGGGTTTCAACCGTGAATTTTTGAGCTCTGACAAGACAGATGGTTTTTTTTTTCCCCAGGTTGGCCTGTTAGCTTAGCTCGTAGCTTAGCTTCTCAACTTAGCTGCTTTTAACAATTCAAAAATGCCAATTTGAACAGTTAAAACAGATTTTAAAGAGAAATGGAGGGGAGGAGCACTGGAATTGAGCCTTTTGTCATCCAGTGTCCAGTAAAAAGAGAGAGACACAAAGAAGCGATAAAGACGATAAATAAAAATTAGGTTGATAATTTTCATTCATCATGCGATGAATTGATATATTGTTTATTGCAACAGGCCTAGTTAGAATTAAGCCTCACTATGTCATTGACATCACTGCATGGGTTTAGGGCCACTGTCTTTAAACAGTTTGAAGGAAAATAAAATTCTTTTTTCATCTGCCCTGTTATCAGTTTTCAGTTCATAAACTCCCTCTCTGATGGTATGGGGGTACATTAATGCCTCTGGCATGGGCAGCTCACATATTTGGAAAAGTACCAACAATGCAGAGGACTATATAGAGAATATAATCCCATCTAGCTAAACTAAATCCAGCAAAGAAGCTCCAGGGCTGTTGAAAAGGTAGAATCGTCCATCAGACAAGAATGTGACAACATTCCCCTCCCAGAAACTCCAGCAGCTGGTCTCCTCCATCCAGCAGCTGGTCTCCTCCTTCCAGCAGCTGGTCTCCTCCATCCAGCAGCTGGTCTCCTCAGGTCCTGGATGTCGGCAGATTGTTTAAAAAAACGAGAAGATGCTTCCCTGTCCCAACATTTTTGAGCTGTGTTCCTGCCATGAAATTCTAAATCAGCTTGAAACTGCAAACGGTCGCATTCTGTTTTTGTTTACATTTTACATGCTGACTCGACATCTTTCGAAACAGGGCTTGTGCTTTTTCCACACAGACTGACATCAAGAGGAGCGTAACAGCTGACATCAGATGAACTGCCGTTGATATGAAGATAATGGTGCCTCTCACTGAGGCGAAGCACTTTAATCCTTTTCTGTGTCTGTGCTTTTAGTTTACCTGATCCTGGGTCTGATTGTCATGCTGGTGGTGCTGGAGACCTTCTGCGAGCTGCAGCAGCTGAAGCAGCTGAGGAAGATGTTCTACCTAAAGAAGGAGAAGCCGCAGGACCGCATGGCGATCCTGGAGCACGACCACCTGTCCTTCACCACCGTGTCCGACGGCAACACGACCAGCGCTCAGGACAAAGCCCAGATGTTTGTTAGCGTCCCAACTCTGGCCTCTCCCCACGACGACGCGATGATCCAGTAAATCTCATCAGAGTCACTAAAGATTTACAAACACACATGAATGGAAGGGTTAACTCGTGCAAAACTAGTAGTAGATGATAGTCGGCTTTTTTTGCCTTTATAACTTTAGTTACAGCTTAAAGTGATTGTTACTTAGACAGTGAACCATAAAACTGACAATAGAGTTGAGCAGCAGGGACTGGACCTACACGGTGAGGGACTAATTCATATTTAAACGTCGACTATAAATACAGAAGCGTATGCTAAAAGAAAACGTCCTCTGCTGTATTTACGACGCACAAAAGCTAAGCGCCTTTACAAGCTGCATTCGTTATTGCACACTTAGGAATATTTTATGAAGTAATCCGTCTCTTAGCTCCAACTGCAGCACGGAACAATCTTCAGTCACAAAAAAAAAAAGAAGTTCAAATCTTATAAATAGTGTTGCTTCACAGGCGTTTGGCATGTTGGATGTTTTAAATGTTGAGCACAAAATCAAAGTCTAAATGCAAATTCTGCAAATAATGAACACTGTAAGTGTCGCATCGTCTTTTAATTATTATTTTTTTTGTGGGCATTTCTCTTATTCATCTGCTAGTGACAGCTTAAGAGCTTCTGGAAAGGGAGCAGAGCAGCAAAGAGTCGCTGATGTCATTTAGTCAGATCTGCTGCATCAAAGACCCAACCAGTAGGAAAGTCTCATTACATCTTATTTAAGAAATAATGCTTTTTAATCTTTATTTTGCACTTGGTACAAGCTAAACATCATGGCCATGCAGGATCTACAGACCTTTAATGCATTCAGTATTTAATTTATTATTGATTTATTTTGTTTTTATGGAAAAAAATTGCACAATCAAGAGAGGATAAAGCTTAAATATCGGATTAATCGGTTTTTATTTACAATAAACCAGATAAGATCAAATAATGGCAGGGCGTTTTTAATTATAATTGAGGACGTGGAAGCGTATAACTTGTAGAAATGTAGGTATTTGTGTTTACTTTCTGGTTGCGCTGGCACTGGGACAGGATGTGTGTGTGTGTCTGACCTCAACGTGTTGTTTGTGAAGTGCTGTAATTACTGATTTCTCTGAACGGTTTAATGTGTCCTGGACTGTGTGAAAAGGGAGGAGTGGCATATTCAGCCTAAGTGAAGTGAAGGCTGACCGCTTGTTTTTACTGTAATGTAAAAAGATTAATTGGTACTTGAACCGCAGTCAGTTTACAGAAACATAAATGTTTTTTTGAAGGATGAAATGGGAACTTTGACAGAGAGTTGCAGATGTTTCTTCTGCTAAGACTTTAGCTGTACGTTAATCTGTAAAAGTTTGATAACCGCTGGCGAACTTGGGAACTTATTTTACTGTATTTACAAAATACGAGTGTAGAAATGTTTTTATTGTTATTACTGTATTTTTTAGATTATAAGGCGCATTAAGTGAAACAAAACAGATAAGTCAAACTTTATTCAACTCATTCATAATACCTCAACATTGTTCAGTTTTACCACCTAAAATCAGTTTCACGTCAGTAAGCACAACCAGAATTAATACATAAGGTGCAACTTATGTCGGTTTTTGAGAAAATTAAAGGATTTTAAGTACGCCTTATAGTCCGAAAATACGGCATTATTATTATTATTATTATTATGACTTCAGGAAGGTTTACAAATTGCTCCAAATAAATGATGAGTTGTAGCTCTTATAACTAATCACCAGTTCTTATATATACCACAACAGTTGGAAACGTGCAAATAAAATAAAATAAAAACCGCCAGTGTTTAGATTAAAAATAAAAAGGGATAAAAACGCTCTCGTGTGATTTCAAAAAAATCTTTTTTAGCTTGAAGAATGTTACGTCATTGTCCGTCCTCTAATTTATGTGTTGCGGACAAATAACCATCCAAATATTATACTTGTTAACTTTTTTAAAGTTTCTTTAGCAACTTTATTTTGAAGCCCTGCATTTCTGATGATCATTGATATCGTGGTTTCATTGATGGGTTTTGAGTTCTAAGGTTGATATCCACACAGAAACCAGTTTCTTACAAATTGCATCAGAGTAGAGTGATGCACGCTGGAGATGATGTAAACCTGCAGCAGCGCCTGCTTTCAGGTTTATTAGCTGCTTTGCAACAGTTTAACTCCTTTCTTGTTAAATGTCTTAATGGTTCCTGATAAACGTCCTGCTTCCAGCTTGAGGGTTTTCTCTTAAGATTTCAGCCATAGACTGTATAAAAGTTGCAGCAATCCTAATAAGTTTAATTGGTGTTGTTTCAACTTCTGTGTCAATCAGTATTTTGTTGTTTAAAGGATTAGAAATGTGTCTGCCTTTCTTTGAACTTCCAATATATTTTATTTCTGTTTTAATCCCTTATTTTCTACCATTGTGGGCCTTTGTGTACAACTGTGAAATGTTGATTTTGTCAGATTTTTGCTGAAGGAATGGAATACTTTTGTAAACTGTCTCTTTTACTGTAAATGTCTTTTAGCTGCTGTTTGATGGGTTGATGTGTTCGGGGCTTGATCCTGCTCAGTCATCGCCCAAATGTAGTTTGTCTTGAAGATGAAAGCTGTCCGCTAAAGTAGTTTTTTTCAGGGAATAAACTTTGTAAAGGATCTGAATGCACAGGTGGAATTTATTTATGCTGAGAAAACTGACATGTTTGTAATGTTTCTATTTTTTTGTACATATCTGTTCATTTGTAGTTGTGTATGCTGTACATTCTGATACATGGTTATGTATTTTACCATTTTAATACCAGGAAAGTAAAACAAGACTGTTAACTGGACACCAAGGTTTGACCTAAATTTCATTTCAACTTAAGAAAATACATGAACTGTAAAATCTCAATGTGTCTGAAATAAAATGTCCAGTTTAAATAATTGCTCCTTCATTCATTTGTCTTTTCTCCTGAGCTGCTGTTTTCTAAACTCTTAAGATATTGATGCTGACTCAGTCTGAATACTCTGTGAAATCAAAAAGATAAAAACACATTGTGAGGATTATTGTCATTGTGAGCATTATATTCCCACTCCAGTCACGTTCCTGCGACGCTGGAACATTACGATACCATTGAATCAATATTGGCCAGATTATCAGACCTTTCGTGGTACCTGTTGGTGGTGAGCAAATGAAGCTTTTATGAAACATTGAACCAGTTGGGCCAAATGTTTCAAAAATAGGTTAATTTGTTGAAGCTTCAGTTACAGTGACTTGTGACAATTTGCAATGCTGCTGTTCAATTATGCTTTTGGTGACACCAAGAACTTCAGTGATTAGTGTTAAAGAAACTACGGTGGTTAAAAAAAAAACCCAGATTTAAAAAAAATTCATCAACTTTCTTTGTTGTCTGGTTTGAAAATGTATTTATGCTTATGTGTTTTCAAATAAAGATTGATAAATGTGCATTGAAGAGATTTTATAAAAATGTTGCAGTGGTACTGTGCTTGTGTAACTGTGGCAGAATCAGAGTCTTTATTATTCTTAAAAATAACAATGAAATGATGTATCCAGCATCTCCGTGTTTGGCACTGAAGTGTCTAATCATAGAGGAGGTATCATGATGCTTCAGTTCAGTTGAACACACCAAACACTGCACCTGTAGAACTAGACTAATATAAATAAAAATTTAATTTGAGCCCAATACTGGTTTATGACTATTAAATTCACTTAATTTTACTGTAAATATATTAAATGCATGGGTTAAATGGGTGGGCAGCACGGTGGCGCAACTGGTAGAGCTGCTGCCTCTCAGCGAGAAGGTCCTTGGTTCAAACCCCGGTCCAGGGGCCTTTCTGGGTGGAGTTTGCATGTTCTCTCCGTGCATGCGTGGGTTTTCTCCGGGTACTCCGGTTTCCTCCCACAGACCAAAAACATGCATGTTAGGCTGATTGGTAACTCTAAATTGTCCCTAGGTGTGAGTGAGAGAGTGAATGGTTGTTTGTCTCGTTTGTCTCTATGTGGCCCTGTGATGGACTTGCGACCCGTCCAGGGTGTACCCTGCCCCTCGCACAGTGACTGCTGGACATGGGCACCAGCGACCCCCGTGACCCAAAATGGAATAAACGGGTAAAGATAATGGATGGATGGATGGATGGATGGATGGATGGGTTAAATGGGTTAGATAATATCGTCACTGCTGAACATTACTATAACTTTTTGACATTTAAATGCCAAAACCACCTTATCATGAGCAAAATGAAGTGTTCCCACATGTTAGAACAACCTCTTTTCCTGGCTGGCTCCATAATTACGCAATTTCAACAATATCAACACAACAGCAAAAACACACCTACTGTCCCAACACACTGCAAACATTTTAGAGCTGTTTTATAGTGTTGAGTGCTCTCAGTTCAAAACTCTCAACCTGTCAACTGTCAGAATCGAGACGAGGTGGTGCTGGGGAATCAGCTGATTGGACCTCGAACCAATCAAGTGATTCATTCTGACAACGAAACGGTTTGTGTTTCGGACGTCACGTGTCACGTCACTCCTTCCGCACCAAAACAGGCTCCGAAGCAGTGGTCCGATGTAATTTTACTGCATGGTTTGAAGCATGTTTTGAAGCTTTTGTTTCATACCATCATTAGTACCCGTTATCCAGCCATCTAGTTTCTTGTTCACGCCTGATGTTTAGGTCTTGCTTTTTGGGTTTTGACTTCACGCCTCATCTTGTGAATTTATTATTCTTCCTGCTCCTCGCATGGTTTGGTTCTGCCCATCTGACCCTGGTTTTTGACCACTTCTGACTATGGTTTCTGGTTTGCCCTTTGTTCTTGGATTTCTGACTCCCTGTGCTTGACCCCTCCTTTGCCCTTTGGACCATGACCCTGCATTGCCTCGCTGTCCACATGATTAAAGGCCTCCCTTAAAATCCCTATGACAAAATGTGGTCGTACCAGGGTCAGATGGGCAGAACCAAAGTATACAAGGAGCAGGCAGAACAATAAATCCACAAGATGGGGTGTGAGGTCAAAATCCAAAAAGCAAGGCTTGGACAAGAAACTAGGCTGGATGACGGGTACCATGGAATGTCTGATAATCTGGCCAATATGGATTCAAAGCTGACACGAGTGGCGCTCTGGCATCAAGGGCCTCATAGTAAATCTGGACATTCAGCTGCAAACATTTTTTTTTTGTTTTTGTTTTTACACTCTTGTTGTCTGGCTGATTTTTGAATCCAAAAACCCTGATTCTTGACAGAAAAACTTGATGTCTGACATAATGGACAGACGGTAAATTAGTTTCTAAACAGTTTTTACTAACCTGTTTTTGATATCTTCTCCAGCGACTTCCAAGTCCTGTTCCCTTGAGTCTTCAAAAGACCTCCTCATTCCTTGTGACTTCACCTTGACATCATCTTGTCCCTTCAACCACGCAAACATTAGTCTGTATCAGCAACAACCAAATATCAACAACCTGTTCCTCTCTCCAACAATCTCAATCTGGATCATCTCCCCCACTGTGGAAACCTAGGACCTCTTCTCTCTTTCCTCTCCAGCTCCATCTACAAATACAAACAACATTAAGAAATCCATATCGGCCAACAAGAGTTATCTCATCCAAGCTGAAAGAATTTCAGTACTCACCTTGTCCTTTTTCCCTTTCAGCCCTGAACATCACCAACACTTGTAAATAAAGCACATAGCTTTTGTACGCCTCTTCCTCATCCTCAGTCTGCTAACTTGGGGTCAGCATTAACTGAAATCATATTACTAAGTAAGCGTAGCAAATAAAGTCCTTTTTTTATTTTCTTTGCAGACTAGTGAACCTCTGCCCATTTTTACTTCTGAGAGCTTGAGCCTCTCTTAAATACCATTTTGTATTGCTCCAATCCTTTTACTGACCTGTTCCTAATGCACCTAATAAGTTGTAAAATGCTCCTCCAGCTCTTTCCTCTTCATACGTTTTACTGTTACAGCCTTTGTTGCACCTCTCCTGTCTTTTCTTGCATAATTACTGCCAATATATATATAAAAAAACACTTTCCCACCCCCAAATATGATACAATTTCTCAATTTAAACAGCAGATATGTTCATAATGTTTATAAAATATGTGTTTATAAGATTAGCAAATCATTACATTCTGTCTTTCTTTACATTTACATAATGTAAATATTGGCTTTTATACAGGAAAAGCATCATCTCATTGCATAGCATACAGTAATTAGATGATTGACGTTTTTGCTCTTGAGAGTTCACTGCCATTAATTGGAAGTAGGAGCTGAGCAAATGATAATGGAAGTGATTATGATGAAGGACTTTGCAACTTAAAAAATGAGATTCTGCTGCCTGAGTGCTCTGTTTTAGCCTTTTCATCTTTTTGAATTTGAAACGGAGGTTCGTCTCATCTCCGCTGCCATCACCAGAGAGCAGTAATTGGAAGTTGAGGAGTTCCAGCCAGTGATTAACTGGAAATGATTTCATGAAAACATTAATCAA